ACTCGGACATTACCATGACTACCCACACCCAGCTGTATCACTATAACATCACAACACACATCCTTATACCACTCGGAGATTACCATGACTACCCACACCCAGCTGTATCACTATAACATCACAACACAAATCCTTATACCACTCGGACATTACCATGACTACCAACACCCATCTGTATCACTATAACAGCAAACATCCTTATACCACTCGGACATTACCCTGACTACTCACACCCAGCTGTATCACTATAATAGCAAACATCCTTATACCACTCGGACATTACCATGACTTCCCACACCCAGCTGTATCACTATAACATCACAACACACATCCTTATACCCCTCGGACATTACCATGACTACCAACACCCAGCTGTATCACTATAACAACACACATCCTTATACCTCTCGGACATTACCGTGACTACTCAAACCCAGCTGTATCACTATGATATCACAGCACACATCCTTCTTCCACTCGGACATTACCATGAATACCCACACCCAGCTGTATCACTATAACATCTCAGCACACATCCTTCTACCACTCGGACATTACCATGACTACCCACACCCAGCTGTATCACTATAACATCACAGCACACATCCTTCTACCACTCGGACATTACCATGACTACCCACACCCAGCTGTATCACTATAACAGCACACATCCTTGTATCACTTGGACATTACCATGACTACCAACACCCAGCTGTATCACTATAACAGCACACATCTTTGTATCACTCGGACATTACCATGACTACCCACACCCAGCTGTATCACTATAACAGCACACATCCTTGTATCAGTCGGACATTACCATGACTACCAACACCCAGCTGTATCACTATAACAGAACACATCCTTGTATCACTCGGACATTACCATGACTACCAACACCCAGCTGTATCACTATAACAGCACACATCCTTCTACCACTCGGACATTACCATGACTACCAACACCCAGCTGTATCACTATAACAGCACACATCCTTCTACCACTCGGACATTACCATGACTACCAACACCCAGCTGTATCACTATAACAGCACACATCCTTCTACCACTCGGACATTACCCTGACTACCAACACCCAGCTGTATCACTATAACAGCATACTTCCTTATATCACCCGAACATTACCCTGACTACCCACACCCAGCTGTATTACTATATCACAGCACACATCCTTCTACCACTCGGACATTACCATGACTACTCACACCCTGCTGTATTACTATATTACACCAAACATCCTTCTACCACTTGGACATTACCACGACTACTCAAACCCAGCTGTATCACTATAATATCACAGCACACATCCTTCTTCCACTCGGACATTACCATGAATACCCACACCCAGCTGTATCACTATAACATCTCAGCACACATCCTTCTACCACTCGGACATTACCATGACTACCCACACCCAGCTGTATCACTATAACATCACAGCACACATCCTTCTACCACTCGGACATTACCATGACTACCCACACCCAGCTGTATCACTATAACATCACAGCACACATCCTTCTACCACTCGGACATTACCATGACTACTCACACACAGTTATATCACTATAACAGGACACATCCTTCTACCACTCGGACATTACCCTGACTACCCACACCCAGCTGTATCAGTATATCACAGCCCACATCCTTCTACCACTTGGACATTACCCTGACTACCCACACCCAGCTGTATAACTATATCACAGCACGCATCCTTCTACCACTCGGACATTACCATGACTACGCACACCCAGCTGTATCACTATAACAACACACATCCTTATACCACTTGGACATTACAATGACTACCAACACCCAGCTGTATCACTATAACAGCACACATCCTTGTATCACTCGGACATTACCCTGACTACCAACACCCAGCTGTATCACTGTAACAGCACACATCCTGGTATCACTCGGACATTACCCTGACTACCAACACCCTGCTGTATCACTATAACAGCACACATCTTTGTATCACTCGGACATTACCCTGACTACCAACACCCAGCTGTATCACTATAACAGCACACATCCTTGTATCACTCGGACATTACCATGACTACCAACACCCAGCTGTATCACTATAACAGCACACATCCTTGTATCACCCGGACATTACCCTGACTACCAACACCCAGCTGTATCACTATAACAGCACACATCCTTGTATCACTCGGACATTACCCTGACTACCAACACCCAGCTGTATCACTATAACAGCACACATCCTTATATCACCCGGACATTACCCTGACTACCCACACCCAGCTGTATCACTATATCACAGCACACATCCTTCTACCACTCGGACATTACCATGACTACCCACACCCAGGTGTATCACTATAATGTCACAGCACACATCCTTCAACCACTCGGACATTACCATGACTACCAACACCCAGCTGTATCACTATAACATCACAACACACATCCTTATACCACTCGGACATTACCATGACTACCCACACCCAGCTGTATCACTATAACATCACAACACACATCCTTCTACCACTCGGACATTACCATGACTACCAACACCCAGCTGTATCACTATAACAGCACACATCCTTATACCACTCGGACATTACCATGACTACCCACACCCAGCTGTATCACTATAACATCACAACACACATCCTTATACCACTCGGACATTACCATGACTACCAACACCCAGCTGTATCACTATAACAGCACACATCCTTATACCACTCTGGACATTACCATGACTACCCACACCCAGCTGTATCACTATAATATCACAGCACACATCCTTATACCACTCGGACATTACCATGACTACCCACACCCAGCTGTATCACTATAACATCACAGCACACATCCTTCTACCACTCGGACATTACCATGACTACCCACACCCAGCTGTATCACTATAACAGCACACATCCTTATATCACTCGGACATTACCATGACTACCCACACCCAGCTGTATCACTATATCACAGCACACATCCTTCTACCACTCGGACATTACCCTGACTACCCACACCCAGCTGTATCACTATATCACAGCACACATCCTTCTACCACTCGGACATTACCATGACTACCCACACCCAGCTGTATCTCTATAACATCACAACACACATCCTTATACCACTCGGACATTACCATGACTACCCACACCCAGCTGTATCACTATAACATCACAACACAAATCCTTATACCACTCGGACATTACCATGACTACCAACACCCATCTGTATCACTATAACAGCAAACATCCTTATACCACTCGGACATTACCCTGACTACTCACACCCAGCTGTATCACTATAATAGCAAACATCCTTATACCACTCGGACATTACCATGACTTCCCACACCCAGCTGTATCACTATAACATCACAACACACATCCTTATACCCCTCGGACATTACCATGACTACCAACACCCAGCTGTATCACTATAACAACACACATCCTTATACCTCTCGGACATTACCATGACTACTCACACCCAGCTGTATCACTATAATATCACAGCACACATCCTTCTTCCACTCGGACATTACCATGACTACCCACACCCAGCTGTATCACTATAACATCACAGCACACATCCTCCTACCACTCGGACATTACCATGACTACTCACACACAGTTATATCACTATAACAGGACACATCCTTCTACCACTCGGACATTACCCTGACTACCCACACCCAGCTGTATCAGTATATCACAGCCCACATCCTTCTACCACTTGGACATTACCCTGACTACCCACACCCAGCTGTATAACTATATCACAGCACGCATCCTTCTACCACTCGGACATTACCCTGACTACCCACACCCAGCTGTATCACTATAACATCACAACACACATCCTTCAACCACTCGGACATTACCATGACTACCCACACCCAGCTGTATCACTATAACAACACACATCCTTATACCACTCGGACATTACCATGACTACCAACACCCAGCTGTATCACTATAACAGCACACATCCTTGTATCACTCGGACATTACCATGACTACCAACACCCAGCTGTATCACTATAACAGCACACATCCTTATATCACCCGGACATTACCCTGACTACCAACACCCAGCTGTATCACTATAACAGCACACATCCTTGTATCACTCGGACATTACCCTGACTACCAACACCCAGCTGTATCACTATAACAGCACACTTCCTTATATCACTCGGACATTACCCTGACTACCCACACCCAGCTGTATCACTATAACATCACAGCACACATCCTTCTACCACTCGGACATTACCCTGACTACCCACACCCAGCTGTATCACTATAACATCACAGCACACATCCTTCTACCACTCGGACATTACCCTGACTACCCACACCCAGCTGTATCACTATAACATCACAGCACACATCCTTCTACCACTCGGACATTACCATGACTACCCACACCAAGATGTATCACTATATCACAGCACACATCCTTCTACCACTTGGACATTACCCTGACTACCCACACCAAGATGTATCACTATAATGTCTCAGCACACATCCTTGTATCACTGGGACATTACCCTGACTACCCACACCCAGCTGTATCACTATAATGTCACAACACACATTCTATTATGAAAAGTTAATGCCTTTATTTTGGTTATTTTAATGATTAGTTTCATTGTAAATGTGACCACACAATGTTATATATTCGTGTATGTATATCTGGACAGGAAATGAGATTTATGATTTGCCCATCGACCATATATAATTCCCCCATAATATTTTATATCATCACTGTTTCTCGCTAACACGACGGAAATCACACCTACACACGTTTTAATAAGTATTATGTAAGTAACACATAATTGCACGCACACGCACGCACGCACACACACACACACACACACAGAGACAAACACACAGAGAACAGTGTGTACAGGGTATAATAACGAAAGCCACTTTTGATTGTCATTACCGTTTGTCCGCCATGCAGGAGCACAGGTGGGCCAGGGATGCAACGACAGCGCTGAATGTCTTGTTAACGCCGTTTGTAGCAATAACACATGCACGTGTTTGGAAGATTTCTTCCAGAAGGATATGAAGTGTATACCAAGTGAGTCGTGCATGCACGTGTACCATGTATCTGGTAATTCTCCAACATCGCCACGGATTCCTACTTCCTTCTGTGTCACTACACTATAACAATTGACATCCTCACATCACTCTGCATTAAATACGATAAATATCCTGGACCGATTCCTCGGTTTGTCTCTGAAAGTTTCTAACCATCTCCATCTAACGTATCACTAAGAAAAGAATTGACACAACCTTACATTCCTCCGATATTGATCCGTGAAGAACCGGGTTAGAATTGATCTTCAGTAACTCATGCTTGTCGTAAGAGGCGACGAACGGGATCGGATGGTCATCGGACTTGGTTGACACATGTCATCGTATCCCAATTGCATTGATCGATGCTCATGCTGTTGATCACTAGATTATTTGGTCCAGACTACATTATTTACAGACAGCCGCCATATTGATAAACTCACTCACTCCTCCGATATTACAAATACCCACACACTTCTGTTAAAGTAGAATATTCAAAATGAATGCACATCCTTATATTGCTCTGATATTACCAATAGCCAAACCCTTCTGTTTATTATATATATATATATATATATATATATGAATGCACATCCTTATGTGACCTCGATAATACTCTGAATAACCACACCCTTCTCTTTATCTGAAATATCACATTGCACATCCCTTTACTACACCCCATATGAGAATATTTTCCACGTCCTCCTGATCAATATCCTCAACTTATCAACTGAATACCTAACGACCCAGTATGTATTTATTCCACACCTGGATTGTGTATCATTCCCGTAACGTTTGTCTGAAAGTGTTACTGTGAGGTGTCACAGTGGTGGACGTAGTGATACTCTGAGGCGTCACAGTGGTGGACGTAGTGTTACTTTGAGATGTAACAGTGGTGGATGTAGTGTCAATGTGATGTGTCACAGTGTTGAATGTAGTGTTTCTGTGAGGTGTCAAAGTGGCGGACGTAGAGCTACTCTGAGGTGTCACAGTGGTGGACGTAGCGTTACTGTGAAGTGTCACAGTGGTGGACGTAGTGTTACTGTGATGTGTCACAGTGGTGGACGTAGTGTTATCATGAGGTGTCACTGTAGAAGTCGTAGAGTTACTGTGAGGTGTCACATTTGTGGACGTAGTGTTACTATGAGGTGTCACAGTGGTGGACGTAGTGTTACTAGTGAGGTGTCAGAGTGGTGGACGTAGTGTTACTCTGAGGTGTCACAGTGGTGGACGTAGTGTTACTGTGGGGTGTCACAGTGGTGGACGTAGTGTTACTGTGAGGTGTCACAGTGGTGGACGTATTGTTACTCTGAGGTGTCACAGTGGTGGACGTAGTGTTACTCTGAGGCGTCACAGTGGTGGACGTAGTGTTACTCTGAGGTGTCACAGTGGTGGACGTAGTGTTACTCTGAGGCGTCACTGTGGTGGATGTAGTGTTACTCTGAGGTGTTACAGTGGTGGACGTAGTGTTACAGTGAGGTATCAGAATGGTGGACGTAGTGTTACTCTGAGGTGTCACAGTGGTGGACGTAGTGTTACTATGAGGTGTCACAGTGGTGGACGTATTGTTACTATGAGGTGTCACAGTGGTGGACGAAGTGTTACTGTGAGGAATCACAGTGGTGGACGTAGTGTTACTGTGAAGTGTCCCAGTGGTGGACGTAGTGTTGCTGTGAAGTGTCCCAGTGGTGGACGTAGTGTTACTGTGAAGTGTCACAGTTGTGAACGTGGTGTTAGTTTGAGGTGTCACAGTGGTGGACGTAAGGTTACGCTGAGGTGTCACATTGGTGGACGTAGTGTTAATCTGAGGTGTCACAGTTGTAGACGTAGTGTTACTCTGAGGTGTCACACAGTGGTTAACGTGAGTGTTAATGTGAGGTGTCACAGTGGTGGACGTAGTGTTACTCAGAGGTGTCACAGCGGTGGACGTAGTGTTACTCTGAGGTGTCACAGTGGTGGACGTAGCGTTAGTCTGAGGTGCCACCGTGGTGAACATAGCGTTAATCTGAGGTGTCACATTCGTGAACGTAGTATTACTATGAGGTGTCACAGTGGTGAACATAGTGCTACTATGAAGTGTCACAGTGGTGGACGTAGCGTTAGTCTGAGGTGTGTCACAGTGGTAGACGTAGCGTTACCTTTGAGGTGTCACAGTGGTGAACGCAGTGTTACTCATGAGGTGTCACAGTGGTGGACGTAGTGTTACTGTGAGGTGCCACAGTGGTGGATGTAGTGTTAATGTGAAGTGTCACAGTGGTCGAAGTAGTGTTAGTCCGAGGTGTCACAGTGGTGGTCGTAGTGTTACTATGAGGTGTCAGAGTGGTTCACGTAGTGTTACTGTGAAGTGTCAGAGTGGTGGACGAAGTGTTACTGTGAAGTGTCACAGTGGTGGACGTAGTCTTACTGTGAGGTGTCACAGTAGAGGTCGTAGAGTTACTGTAAGGTGTCACAGTTGTGGACGTAGTGTTACTGTGAAGTGTCACAGTGGTGGACGTATTGTTACTATGAGGTGTCACAGTGGTGGACGTAGTGTTACTATGAGGTGTCACAGTGGTGGACGTAGTGTTACTGTGAGGAATCACAGTGGTGGACGTAGTGTTACGGTGAAGTGTCACAGTGGTGAACGTAGTGTTACCATGAGGTGTCACAGTGGTGGACGTAGTGTTACAGTGAGGTGTCCCAGTGGTGGACGTAGTGTTACTGTGAAGTGTCCCAGTGGTGGACGTAGTGTTACTTTGAAGTGTCACAGTTGTGAACGTAGTGTTACTTTGAGGTGTCACAGTGGTTGACGTAGGGTTACGCTGAGGTGTCACATTGGTGGACGTAGTGTTAATCTGGGGTGTCACAGTTGTAGACGTATTGTTACTCTGAGGTGTTACAGTGGTTAACGTAGTGTTAATGTGAGGCGTCACTGTGGTGGGTGTAGTGTTACGCGGAGGTGTCACAGTGGTGGACGTAATGTCACTCTGAGGCGCCACAGTGGTGGACGTAGAGTTTGTTTGAAGTGTCACTGTGGTGGACGTAGTGTTTATCCGAAGTGTCACAGTGGAGGACGTAGCGTTACTCTGAGGTGTCACAATGTTGGACGTAGTGTTACTCTGAGGTGTCACAGTGGATGACGTAGTGTTACTCTGAAGTGTCACAGTGGTGGACGTAGTGTTACTCTGAGGTGTCACAGGGGTGGACGTAGTGTTACTGTGTAGTGTCACAGGGGTGGACGTAGTGCTACTCAGAGGTGTCACTGTTGTGGACGGAGTGTTAGTGTGAAATGACACTGTGATGGACGTAGTGTTTGTGTGAAGTGTCACAGTGGTGGACGTAGTGGTACTGTGAGGTGTCGAAGTTGTGAACGTAATGTTACTGTGAAGTGTCACAGTGGTGGACGTAGTGTTAGTGTGAGGTGTCACAGTGGAGGACGTAGTGTTAATATGACGTGCCACTTTGGTGGACGTAGTGTTAGTCTGAGGTGTCACAGTGGTGAACATAGCGTTAATCTGAGGTGTCACATTCGTGAACGTAGTATTACTATGAGGTGTCACAGTGGTGAACATAGTGCTACTATGAAGTGTCACAGTGGTGAACGTAGCGTTAGTCTGACGTGCCACAGTGGTAGACGTAGCGTTACTCTGAGGTGTCACAGTGGTGAACGCAGCGTTACTATGAGGTGTCACAGTGGTGGACGTAGTGTTACTGTGAGGTGCCACAGTGGTGGATGTAGTGTTAATGTGAAGTGTCACAGTGGTCGAAGTAGTGTTAGTCCGAGGTGTCACAGTGGTGGTCGTAGTGTTACTATGAGGTGTCAGAGTGGTTCACGTAGTGTTACTGTGAAGTGTCAGAGTGGTGGACGAAGTGTTACTGTGAAGTGTCAAAAGTGGTGGACGTAGTCTTACTGTGAGGTGTCACAGTAGAGGTCGTAGAGTTACTGTAAGGTGTCACAGTTGTGGACGTAGTGTTACTGTGAAGTGTCACAGTGGTGGACGTATTGTTACTATGAGGTGTCACAGTGGTGGACGTAGTGTTACTATGAGGTGTCATAGTGGTGGACGTAGTGTTACTGTGAGGAATCACAGTGGTGGACGTAGTGTTACGGTGAAGTGTCACAGTGGTGGACGTAGTGTTACCATGAGGTGTCACAGTGGTTGAGGTAGTGTTACAGTGAGGTGTCCCAGTTGTGGACGTAGTGTTACTGTGAAGTGTCCCAGTGGTGGACGTAGTGTTACTTTGAAGTGTCACAGTTGTGAACGTAGTGTTACTTTGAGGTGTCACAGTGGTGGACGTAGGGTTACGCTGAGGTGTCACATTGGTGGACGTAGTGATAATCTGAGGTGTCACAGTTGTAGACGTATTGTTACTCTGAGGTGTTACAGTGGTTAACGTAGTGTTAATGTGAGGTGTCACTGTGGTGGATGTAGTTTTACTCTGAGGCGTCACTGTGGTGGGTGTAGTGTTAAGCAGAGGTGTCACATTGGTGGACGTAGTGTTACTCTGAGGTGTCACAGTGGTGGACGTAGTGTTACTCTGAGGCGTCACTGTGGTGGATGTAGTGTTACTCTGAGGTGTCAGAGTGGTGGACGTAGTGTTACTCTGAGGCGTCACTGTGGTGGATGTAGTGTTACTCTGAGGTGTTACAGTGGTGGACGTAGTGTTACAGTGAGGTATCAGAATGATGGACGTAGTGTTACTCTGAGGTGTCACAGTGGTGGACGTATTGTTACTATGAGGTGTCAAGTGGTGGACGTATTGTTACTATGAGGTGTCACAGTGGTGGACGAAGTGTTACTGTGAGGAATCACAGTGGTGGACGTAGTGTTACTGTGAAGTGTCACAGTGGTGGACGTAGTGTTGCTGTGAAGTGTCCCAGTGGTGGACGTAGTGTTACTGTGAAGTGTCACAGTTGTGAACGTGGTGTTAGTTTGAGGTGTCACAGTGGTGGACGTAAGGTTACGCTGAGGTGTCACATTGGTGGACGTAGTGTTAATCTGAGGTGTCACAGTTGTAGACGTA